TTTGATTTTTATGTAGATTTGATTTTTGATTTTTATGTAGATATAAATAATTTTATAAGAAAATTGTGTTTAAAAAAGTTTTTTAACAATAAAGAGAAAAAGGAGGTGGTCAAAAATGAGGATGAATATCTCCATACGCCCCTAAAAGAAAAATCAAATTTTTTTCCGAGACATCTTATCTCTAATGAAATTAAATCATTTGAAATGATGGTTATGAACGATGTGGAAAAATTAATAAATATCAACAGAACTTAACACTAGGAGAAAAAAGGGCTCTTAAAGAAATTAAAAATGACGAAAACCTAATAGTGAAACCAGCAGATAAAGGAGGTAGAATAGTAATTCAGAATAAAGAACAATACGTTGCAGAAGCGGAACTCATACTTTCAGACCATTCCACTTATCAGAAACTAACCCAACTCAGAAAATTACTATGATTTTCAAAGAGTATGTAAATAAGGGTAAGGAGTTAGGGATATTAAATGAAAAATAAGCCGATTATATGTTTGTAGAAACTCCTAAAATCCCAGTCTTCTACATTCTACCTAAAATTCATAAAAATATTCAAAATCCACCTGGAAGACCGATAATATCAGGTATAAACTCTATTTCAACTAGAATTTCGGAATATATCGACAATCTACTCCAACCGATAGTTATAAAGAGTCGGTCCTATTTGAAAGATACTGTAGCGGAACGCCAATAATAAATCCACGAATTCCGCTGGTTCAGAAACGAATCCACAGTCAAGCGCTGAAACAACAAGGCAATATCCCCAACCTCCCAATAACCGGACGAGACACAGTTTTGGGAGTCAACTGAAATCCTTTTAATCGGCTGGACAATTTATACAAGTCCCCATGCAAGGGGTTTCCTGAGTCCCTCCCTAGGGGCACTCCCAGAGGGGGCTACATGGGTGACTTACATGACAACATATTTCTCCCATCAGGCACCGCTGCACGAGAGGGATCATCCTCCCAGAATGCACCGTTAAGGGGATTATCCCCTCGTGCAGCAGAACCGACAATTTAAACAAAAATACATAACTTGTTAAATACACGGTGGATTTACACGAATGGACGTTCGTAGATAGCTGGGGTCTGAGCGCATCCTTCGTGAGATTACCGCTCAGATCCCAGCTAAAATAACCGAACGCCGCACGAAAAACACATTTCTTTTAAAACATACGAAAAGGACCGATTGCTTTTAGTGAACACGATCCTGAAACTCCCGAACATCCTGGAGGCTCAGCGGTGTTCGTGCCGTCGAATAGCTATTGGTAGTACTATGCGTTCGACGACCCGGCCCCGCTGAGGAGCAAAGGATCCAAGATGGCCGACCGCCGCATGGTCGGTAGTCGAACGACGGCCACCCAGGAGAGCCTCTAATAACCGATTGCAACAATGTTGCAATCGGTTAACTAGCGCCACACGCCTCTAAGTGTGTGGGCTATTAGGGGTATCGCGTTCGGTTCACGAACGGCTCTCCAAAGTGCCGTTCGTGAAACGAAAAAAAATCCCCATACAAAACCGCCATTTGCATTCGGCGGAAACAGCAATTACAGGCAATGCAGAGGATACATTAAGTATACATAGAAGAGTAAAGCGCATATCTCCCCAGACCTATAGGCAACCCTTAAAGGCATAGTCTCTAGTTATAGTCCAAGTGGCTAGGTTTGCCACAGATACCATTCATTTTTTACAAATTATAGAAGAGACAAAGTGGGTAGATGGATATCAGATGGTCACATGTGACGTCACCTCCTTATATAGTATCATTCCACACGATAAAGGAATAATGGCAGTGAAATATTTTTTAGAACAATCAAATTTTAAAGACGAACAGATAAACTTTATATTAGAGGGGATTTTATTGATTTTAACCAATAATTACTTTTGGTTTGACAACAGCTTTTATCTTCAAATTTGCGGTACGGCAATGGGCACCAGATTTGCCCCAAGTTATGCAAATCTTTTTATGGCATTTTGGGAAGAATCCTTTGTCCTTCAGGGGAACAAGTGGGGGGCAAATTTAGTGTCCTATTGCCTGTTTATAGATGATATTTTCTTTATATGGACTGATACTACGGAAGAACTTGAGAATTTTATCTCATATCTGAATGTCAACGATTTTGGGATAAACCTAACTAGTTGCAATAGTACGAAACAAATAGAGTTTTTAGATATACAAATTGATATTCAAGAATTAAAAATGGTTATGAAAAATTATTTTAAACCCGTGGATGCAGTTATATTGAAAAAACTAGCTATCATTACAATCCATGGTTAAATAATGCACCTCAAAGTCAATTTTTAAGAATTAGACGAAATTGTACACTAGATTCGGATTATCTACAACAATCTAATTACATCAAAAAACAGTTTATGAAGGGGTATAGTGAAGGAAAGTTAGAGAAGGAAATGGAGGAAATCAGACAACTACCAAGAAAATCCCTTTTGAAATATAAACCAAGAATTAAAACAAATCAAAAGTACGAAGTTCCCTTCATTTGTAACTATAATGGACGAAATAGACAGATATGGAAAATAATAAATAAACACTAGCATTTATTGAGAAAAGATTCAATTTTAAACCAAATTTTGCCCACATACCCCAAGATAATATATAGGGGAGCAAGAAATTTTAAAAGTTTTTTAGTGAAGAATCACCTATCCCACAAAAAAATGAACTATCACATTTTAGATTTAAAGGGGTTTTATGGTTGTGGATCATGTCTTCCCTGTAAAATAACTAAGAGTAAAAAAAGACATCTGCAAGATATAGAAGCGATTATTCAACAGCCTTATATTATAAAGGACCATCTCACTTGTCACTCGAGAGGAATACTATATATGTTGAAATGCCCATGTGATCTCTTATACATTGGCAGAACAATTAGACCTCTAAAAGTGAGAATAGCAGAACACATTAGAAATATACGAAATGGCTTAGAGACCCATAACGTATCACTACATTTTAAACAGGTCCACAACCAAAACCCAGAAAATTTGTTCTTTTGTGCAATAAAAGAAATAAAGAGATTGGAGAGGGGGAAACTATATTAAAACTTTAGGGAAAGAAGAAATGGGTTTTATTTTCCAATTCAAAACGTTGACACCATACGAACTTAATGTAGATTTCAAGTATGCCATTTCTAATTAATTAAGATAAATCTTTTATTTATTTTTTATAATATCATATTTCCATCTTATTTTATTCGATTTTATTGCATAAGCACATCTTTTTATACTAAAATCATATTCTAAACGATTGGCCCTTTTACTATATATATATATATTTTTTTAATTCTTTATTTTTGCATTGTGCTTGCGTTTACATACATGCGTACTCTGCCACAACAGCAGGAGTCATAATTTTCAAGCGGTTCAGTTGGTGTAACATTATGGCATTTGAGGTTTGCGCACATTTTTATTTTTAGTATAAGACAAGAGGTAAAAGGGTGTGTGTCAGCAGGAGTGGTGTGTGGGGGTAACAGTTGTAGTTTTCAAGGTTACAGGGTGCTGTATTACAGGTGTTCGTGTGGTGTTGTGCCAGAATGTCACCTACTATGAGTGATCAAGAGAGCTGTGTGAGGGTTGCGTTCAGGTGTATTATGTCCCCGGGCTCGTGGCGGTTCGTGGTGCTGGGTGGCCCAGCTCACTGTTGAGGTTGAGTATGATAAAGTTGCTCAGCTTGTCTTATGTGAGCGGGTCTTGTGTCAAGATATCTTGGTCAGGCTGTGGGTGAATGTGCGTTCGATGTTGGTGGACTGGGCACCCGTGTGTCTAGGGTTTCCCGGAGGATGGTGTACCCCTGACCTAAGGGGCTGGCGGGGGGGGGGAGCTTGTGGAGCTTCTGCTTCCCCGACCGTTGTGTGAAGCTGTTGGTGTATATCTGTCATCTATGGGTTAACATTTACCTGCGTGCTGTCAAGGGTGTGAAGCACAGTGACATATGTCGCACAAGGCAATAACAATATGGTAATTATATACATAAGAGAGGAGGAAAAGGAAAAAAAATATATATTAAACTTTTAAGAAGAAACATTCTAAAGGAAAACCAAAAGTCTTCCGTGGCTGGAGCAGTCATTTACACGGTCCCGTCTCCAGGGACTTTGTGTGGTTTCTAAGAGTTCTTTCTAGCCGTTGTCATTCAGGTGGCCCGGTTTGTAGGTATCATGTTTCTCGGGGTGAATGGTACAGTGTTGTCTGGATCCCATCTCTGTGCAGGGGTCTCTGCTGTGTCGTTTCTTGCCGATAGACCCATCTTGGTGAGCACCGCAGGTACTTCTGTGGGCGTGGAAACTCTGTGCGTGGTCGCATTGTGAGTGATTAGCAGGGATCGAGGTGCACCCCAGTGGTATGGCACCCCTGCGGAGCGCAGTTGGTTTGCAAAGTGGGACAGTGTTCGGCGCCACTAAAGGGTGGCTCTGGTTAAGTCCTGGAAAAATAACAGCTGTGCGTTTTCAAAGGTCAAGGGGGTTTTGTCCCGTACTGCCGACATGATGTTGTTTTTGTCCTGTGTGGTGGCACAGCGTAAGATAACATCCCTGGGAGTTGTGTTGGGCATAGTATTCAAGGGTGGGAGCCTGTAGAGCCCATCAAGGAGCCTCTTTCTAACTGTTGCTGGCGGTAGAATGGTGGCCAGAAGCCTTCTCACATAGTGAGGCAGTTCATCAGGTGTGATGTCGGGGGGTATCCCTCGTATTTTAACGTGATTGCGCCGAGCTCGGTCTTCGTGGGTCGACAGTTGTAGGGAGAGTCCCATTTGGGTAGTCTGCATTTGTTGTATTGCTTCTTTTACTTGTGTGATGTCTGTTTGAATGTTCACGATGCTCTCCTCTGTCACCCTTACTCTTTCAGTTACTTTTTGTACTTCCCCTTTAAGCAGGCCCACATCTGTGGCCAGTGTCTCCTTGATGTCTTGCACCCAAGTAAGGAGGTCCTGTTTGGCCAGTGTGTTGTCAGGTGGTGCCTGTGGTGGTGTCAGGGTGTACTCACTGTTATTCTCCGTTTGTGTGGGAGTATGAGATGCAGCACGGGTCGTTGTCAGAGTTTGTTGAGCCTCCGTGGCCATCTTGGATTGTGCCTGTCTCTGTAGTAGAGCCCCAATGTCAGGCTGCTCTGCTGGGTGTCCGGACTGTGCTTTTTGCATACGTCTCCCCATATTCGTTGGGGTATCGTTGTGGGTCGGCAGGGGGTCGCTTGATAGCGTATGCTCACCCCGGCTGTACACCCCGCCTAGGAAGTCCTCGAGCCCGGAGATGGTCGGCGAGGGATAGGCCTTGAGCCTCCGTTTCACCTTGCCAGATTTTTGGGGTTGAAAGAAAGGCATCAATGTGTGCGCTTCGTCGCCCCGATGCCGGTTTCGAGGTGGGTCTGGCAATCGGTCGGTTCCTTTGCAGGATGTTTGCAGATTTGTTTCAGGCTTGTTAGGAGCAGGCAGAGATGGCGTCCCCTCCGTTTCAGGTTCAGGCCACGCCCCCCCTTTTACTATATTTAATATTACCTTTTTAAGAATTTCTTTTTTCTCCTTTTTTTCAAATTTATGAATTAGTTTTAAAGCTGTATGCTTACTCACACTATATTTCTATATTTGAATATGTTACATGGGAAGCATTTATGTAAGACATACTTTTGGATATCTCTGTTAATGTGGGGAGCAAAAATAGAGGAGGACATATTTGTATATACATGTTTCTTCTTGTTTTTATTTTTATATATGTACCCTATGTTTTGTAGGTAGGAGGTCACGGCCATAAACCCCATTGCAGGCCACTTTATGTGATAATTAATTGAAATAGGGAGGCTGTTTATGTGCACAAATTATGTTGATTGTGTTTTGATTGAGCTGTTGGATATTGAATTTCGCATATGTCACGTGACGACCGCGATGTACGGAGCGCGTCACGTGACTTTTGCGTTCCGCGGTTGAAACGCAAATGCCGAATACCGGAAGAGGAAGTAAAATCAGAGACAATGATGCCGTGGAACGCACCATGTGATACGTGCGTTCCACAAATGGAACGCAACGACCGGAAGAGGAAGTGAAAATGGATCCCGAACTACTAAGGACGCTGAAAAAAAACGCCAAAAGGAAGGATATTTAAATGGACTATTAGGAAACCAAAATTAGCAACTGAGGAAGCCTCATTTTGAGGCGAAACGCGTTTTGCAAACAACTATAAGGACTACCTTCAGACTGTAAGGTTTTTTATTTACTTTTAACAGTTTTATGGAAATTTTTGTGCACTTTACTGAATAAAGCACTTTATTGATGTACAACTTCTTGAGAAGAGATCCTGTTATTGGGATATTCCAGACCATAGAAAGAAGGGAGTGGGTCACTTGAGTACCCACAGTGCTTCAACCTCTGAGCATTTCCAGTGGCTCTATGTTTGTGAGTGCTCCACTACCTATTTACTACAATTATACATTGTGTATTGGCAATATTGCACTATTCTTTTTCCCTATTTGTGTTCTAATTTAGGGAATTGTTAAAGAATATTATCCTGTTGAAAATTACATTTGGAAGAACTCCTATTTGTATACTCCAAAATTTGGACCATAAACTCTAGAAATGGGTATGGTCTACCTATGGCTTACTATTTATAAAGCACATAGGAGTTGAAAATTGCAACCTGGGTTACGTAGATTGCAATTTTCTTGTACCAGGTCCTACTTTTTCAGTTCATCAGATAGGGTTGTATGCATTGGTCAGCCAAGTCTACTCCCCCCATAAACTTGCTGTAGTCTACAACGCATTTAGGCTTCTCCAGCTGCTCAGTTCCACCTCTCACAGACACTGGCACTGAAGTTTTGTCGTGCATTGTATGAATACATCCTTCCTATCGGTGAAGCGAAGGGCAAGCAACTCATCCTGGTGGAGTGCTGAAAGGGAGCCTCTACTGCATTTGCCTCTTGCCAGGGTTTGGGGGAAACCTCTGCGATTCTTCCGCACTGTGCCACAGGCTAGGGTTTCAAAGCAAAATAAAGTTTTAAAAAACTCTATGCTTGAATAATAGTTGTCAACCCATAGCCTGTATCCCTTATTTAATAAGGGAAGGATTAGGTCACATACTATCTTGCCACTTGTACCCACAGAATCAGGGCATCCTGGTGGGTCAAGATGGCTATAAATATGATAAATACGTTAATATGATAAATACGAAATGCCCATGTATATCCAGATTTGGATTCTCACAATTTGTAAAATTTGACACCGTATTGGGACCGTTTAGAAGGGATATACTGCTTAAAAAGGAATCTACCCTTAAACTTCATTAGGGACTCATCTACACAAATATTTTCTTCAGGGACATAATTTTCGGAGAATTTGTCTGGCATGAGTTGGATTAGGGGCCGAATTTTGTAGAAGAGACAGGGGAGGAGAAGTCTGCGCTTAAAAGCAAAAGATAAAAGCTGCAACCCTAAAAAGGGGATCCCTCAAGAACCCTAATATAGTATAAGAGAGAAAAGACAGGGGGGTAGAGGGCTGCGCTAAAAAGGGTAAAATGTATATGTATAAAATAAGTAAAAAATGCAATAAAGGATATACTTCAGAAGATATAATAAAAAATATATAAACAGTACAATAAAAAAGTTAAACAGAGTCTGTGCACTATCAAGGATTAGGCTTAAAAAAGTCCAATAGCATGCATAAGAGATGTCTCACTGGTATGTAGGTGAGCTGTATATGTACAGTCCTCAGAGGTTAATCCTTCCAAGTTTTCAGGGAATCCATATATGAAAGATAAGAACACAAACAGACTTCCAATGGTGTAGTATGTACTGAGAAAATTAACGAAGTGAGAAAATTGGAGGAAAATGCACTCACATTTGTTGGAGCTATAGACCAGCTCTTAGTTGTAAAGCACTTAGCGGCATAATCCCCACTAATGGATATTCTTTAGAGGTAGGTCGCTCCGTCCAGCTTGAATAGTGTAGAATTTCCCACGGTATATAAAAGCAAATATACTGCTCTCAGTAGGAAGAGAAAACGTTAAATAAAATAAAATAAATTATACTCACAATTGTAGAGCAGGAAATACTGCTCTATTATTAATGCGCCGGTGGAATAATCCCCACCTGTGGATTGCTTTAAACAGGAACAGTTAGATGCCAGGAAAAAAATAAATAATTAAAAAATGTGTCTATACAATAAAACAAAATTGGTCCTATAAATAAGGGTACCAAATAAAAGTTTTTATTGTTAAAATACACAGCAAAAAACCATTTGACGCGTTTCACCTCATGGGCTTTTTCAAAAATGGCTAAAGAGCAGTAACCTGGCATTAAACAGTTTATATAGCTTTATACAGAGATTTAAATTTGGCACCTAAACCAATGAACCAATTACAGGCAAGAGATAACAAAAGTATTTTTGCAGTTGTAAATTTTATATAAATACAAAAGGAGTGAGTATCCTACTCATAATTTGTTTTAATTTGAAAAATGAGCATTAGTTTATTAAATATTTAATAATTAAGAACGTCACGTGATCGGAAGATGGGTCACGTGATCGGGATGTGAGCGGCGAATAGCACGCCGCTCACTGGGGGGAAAGGACAACCTACAGGGGCACGTGACCGGCATTAGGAGAGCAAAGGCTCTCGGGCAATGTAGTAGTAGCCGGTCACTGCCCACATACGAGGGAGCAATGGGCGGCTGACTACAAGCTTAATCAACCAGCCGCTCACCCCATAAAGTTCCTGTTTAGAAAGGATAAAACCAGTAAGAGAAGACACTCTTAAGATCATTACATAAAATGAATAATAAATAAAACATAGTAAATAAAAACACATATCATAGACATATACATACACCCATGAAAATAATAATAATCCAACAAAAGTAGTGCTGGCAAATTGTAATTTGCATATAGAAACCAAAATGAATGGAGGCAGATGTTAATATATAGTTCAAGTGGAAAGGGGAGAAATATACTAAAGAGGAAAAGTAAAATGTATGGCAGATAAGAATATGGCAATTAAAAATATATATAAAGTATATGAAGCAAATAAAGTGCAATTTTAGACTTGTATATTTGAAATATAAATTGATGAAAAAAATGTGTAAAAATGATAAAAAATGTTGAATCATAGAAAATTGTGCAGATCAAAATCTGCATTCAGACCTTGGGGTGCAAGGGTCTGTAATTTGTAAACCCATTCCATTTCCACTTTCCCTAGAATATTTTTAATATCGCCTCCTCTCCATGGTAGAGTACATTTTTTAATACCCATACATTTTAGTAATTTGGGATTTTTTTCGTGACTTAAAAAATGTTTGGATACTGAATTATTTAAGTATCCATTTTTAATGTTTCTACAGTGTTTGCTTATTCTTATTTTCAGGCACCTTGTGGTCATTCCAACATACTGGAAGCCACAAGGGCATTCAAGCAAATAAATCACATTTTTAGTATTGCAACTTATGAATTCTTAAATTGGATAGGTGGTTCTCGTTCTATTAGAAGTAAAATCAATAATTTTGGATGGTAAAGTGGAATCGGTAGTTTTACATACAATACACATTTTGCATTTATAAAATCCTTTTGCTTGTGGGAAAAATGATATTGAGTTCGTATTTTGTTTTTTTTTTGGTAAAATTAGTAGTTAAAATAGATTTAAAATTAGGAGCTCCTCTAAAAACTATATTCAGTTTATTTGGGATAATTCCTTTGAGTTTTTCATCTTGTTCTAGGATATGCCATTGTTTTTTGATAATTTTTTAAATATCTTTACTTTTATTATTGTAATCAAAAGTGATGGGGAGACATATAGAATCGTTTTTCGTTTTTATTTCATATTTTAAAAGTTAATTTCTGTCAACAGTTTTGACTTCATTGATATTATTCAATAGATCTATTTCTGGATAATTCTTCTACATGAATTTGTTCTTTAAAATCTCTGCTTGTTCGTTAAAATTGTCTAAATCAGTGCAATTTCTTCGTAATCTTAAAAATTGGCTTTTTGGAACGCTGTCGAGCCAAGGTTTATAATGACAGCTATTTTTGTCGATGGCTGTATTAACACAGACTATTTTTAAAAACGTTTTAGTTTGTATTTTATTATCTTTAATAAAAATATCAAGATAAAAAAAAAATAATTTTTTCTTTACTAAAATCATAAGTTAAAACTACGCCTCTATTATTAATATTTAAATTATCAATAAAAGAAATAAGACTTTCTTCTGACCCGTTCCAGATAAAAAAGAGATCATCAATGTATCTGAAGTATGAGACCAGGTTTGCCCCAAGGTGGTCTCCTTCATATATTGCATAAGATTCCCAATCTGACATGAATAGATTGGCGTAGCTTGGGGCAAACCTGGTACCCATAGCTGTGCCTCTTTTTTGTAGATAAAAAGAGTCTAAAAACCAAAAGTAGTTATTCTTTAAAATAATATTAATCCCTTCTAAAATAAAATCTATCTGTTTTATAGAAAGTCTATTCTCGCTAATTAAAATATTTTTAATAGCTTCACATCCA